GCGCCTCCGAAAGCTCCTTCCTCGATGTAACTTGTGGTCGTGCAGTACGTGCCGTGCCGGGCCACGCATGGGGCGAGTCGCACAACGAAAGTGCCATGGACCACGGACAGAGGCACGGACCATGGAAGGGAGCGAGAGGGCAGACCAGCAGAGGGGGCGCGGAGCTGAGCCCCAGACCTGACGGGGCCCAGGCACAAATTGCGACTGGCTCGGAGCTCTGTCTCACCACGGAGCGGTGTCGGGGCGGCCGCGCCAGGCGGCGGTGCCCGAGGCCTCGGCGGCCAGGGCAGCAGCTGATGCGGCTGGCGCCGCGAGCAACCGAGAGTGCAGCACGTGAGGCAGAAAGGGCCTCGCCGTCGAGGATCAAAGGAGTTGGCCTCTCTTCCCCGGCGGAAGGTCGGCGGGAGCCGGCGGAAGTACAGAATGGGCCCCCGAGAGATGGCAACCTTCTCGGGTTCAGGGTTTCCGGAATCGGCCATGCCCCCCCCCCTCGAGCTATCGTAGTTTCCTAGATTTTGGAGCGCCTGCTGCGGTGGGCTCTCAGTGTCCACCAGCCATAGGGCACACCGGGCCCGGCCTGGGCCTCGGGCTGGTGCACGGGCGTGCAGGCGTGGTCTCAGCCTGAAGGGCATCTGTGCTGGGTCGGAGACATGCCACTGACGCTCTCCTCGTGCGCTTTCCGGTCCGGACGAAAGGGGGGGATTGGGAAAGGGGGGGGTACGAAATTTGCTGCATGCAGCTGGCTTCGGCCTCACCGAGGGGCCCATTCCTCGATACATAGCCGCCTCCGGCGCCGGGAGGCGCCGGGAAAATCAGCTACGTGAGCTGATTCTCAAACCCCCCCTTTACTATCCCCCCTTTCGCCCGACCCGAGCTTTCTCGTGTCTGGAGCTGGCTGTGCTGGGTTCTGCGCCCTCCTCAGAGAGGCGACAATCTGGCTGCCTGGTCGATCTCGGCTTTCCGCACTGACGTTGCCCACTCTCCTAAGCCACGGGTCGGCGCACGCGATCGCAACATCAAGACTGAACAGCGCGCTGCTCGTAGTTCGACCGACCATTTCGCGCGTAGCCGGCGCAGTCACACTGCCACGGCGAAGAAGCATATTCAAAAAGGGCGACTGCGAGGCACAAGCTGTGATGCTGCTTGTGAGCTGCCTGGGCTGTGGCTAAGAAGCCGCTTGGATGCAAATGAGGGTCTCTTGGGTTGCCTCTTGGAGGGCTCTTAGGAGGAGGAGGAGGCGGAGGAGGAGGAGGAGGAGGAGGAGGAGGAGGAGGAGGGAGTCGGAGGAGGGAGTCGGAGGAGTCGGAGGAGGAGGAGGAGGAGGAGGGGGAGGGCTCCTGGAGGGCTTTTTGGGGCTTCTCGGGGGCCTCTTGGGCACCCCTTGGGCGCCTCTTGAGTGCTTATCGGGGCTCCTTGGGGGCACCCTGGGGGCACCTTGGGGGCCTCGTGGGGCTACCTTGGGGCAGAAGGCTCGACATGTCCAGTCGTGCCACCCATTTGGGGCTCCTCTTTGGGCCCTTTTGGGGTGCCTCTTGGGCGATCGTGGGCGCCTCTTGGGCCGTCCTGGTGCCCTCATGGCCCTTCTTGGGGGCCTCTTGGGAGCCTCTTCGGGCGATGCTGAGGGTCCCTTGGGCAATCTCTTTTGAAGCTTTAGAAGCCCGAAAACGCGAACATCATTCAAACACCAAAAAACAGTATTTGGCGTCTTTGGGCCCTCTTGGGGCTCCGCTCGGAGCGTTCTTGGGGCTTCTTGGGGGCCTCTGGGTCCATCATGAGGTCATGTTGGGCTGCTTGGAGCGCTCTTAGGCCGTCTTGGAGGCCTCTTGGGCCCTCTTGGGCATTCCTTGGAGTCCTCTTGGCCCGTCTCGGATAGTCAGGGAGTTTCCGGAAGCTCTTAGAAGTTCCCAGGTGTTATTGGAAGTTCCCAGGAGAACCGGAACATTTAGGGCCCGGGCCCTTAAGAACGGGCTGCAGGACTGCATGAGCCTTGGGGCACTCCACTTCGTGCTGAAGGTACGGTTGTGGTTTTCTATAATTCTAGTAAGTGTCATCCGCAAGGGCTTCGCCCCCTGCCACCCGCCCCCTCTCTATCAGAATGGGATATATTAGAGTCGCGTCGGTGCGTCTCGGCGCTGCCTTGGCGCGTCTGGGAACATCATGTGGGGGCGGATAGGCATCATCAGCGCACGTTGAGACGTTGGCGTCATCCTAGTGGCCTACGGCCCATCCCGCCACCGTGCCTGGGTTGTGGGTCTGAGGCCTCTTGTATATGTGTTGCGGTGTCGGCGGGAGCCTCTCGGGGGCAAATTGGAGACGGTCCGAGCGCCTCTTGGGGGCCTCTTGGGGCCTCGTGGGGTATCTTTTGGGCCTCTTGGAGGCCTCTTGGGCGCGTCTTGGGCGCCTCTTGGGGCCTCTTGGTGGCCCCTTGGGGCCTCCTGGGGGCTTCTCCGGGCACAAATATCGAATGTTCGGTTTGTGGTCCACTGCTTCTGGGCCGTCTTGGGACCCTCTTGGGCCGTCTTGTGCGCTTCTTGGGCCATCTTGGAGCCCTCTCGGGTCCTCTTGGAGGCATCTTGGGCTGTCTGGGGGCGCTCTTGGGAGCTTCTTGAGCCATCTTGGAGCGTCGGAAATCCGAAAATGCGAGAAGGCCAAAATCTTTCAAAACCTTTTTGCAAAATCTACAGTGTTGGCCTCTTGGGGCTCTCTCGGGAGGTCTCTTGGAGCGCTCTTGGCGCCTCGTTGTGCCCTCTTGGGCCGTTTGGGAACCATCTTCGGGCGCCTCGGAGCACTCTTGGCCTCGGCAATGCCAATGCGGCGTGATTTCCGAGGGCTTATGGCTTCGGGGACGCGAGTATCGCGTCATTTACAAAGGCTTGTTGCCTCGGGGGCGAAATACTTGTATACTTTACATGGGTGTGTGGCCTCGGGGACGCGAACAAGGCGTGATTTACAACGGATCATGGCCTCGGGGGCGCGAATCTCCTGCCTTTCGTATGTGTCCCACACCCTCCCGGGACTTCGGGCAACGCGATGCGGGCGTAATAACCGAACTTATCATACGTCATCACTTGCTCCAGCTGCTTGGCATCGCTCGGACGTGTGCACTTTTTCTCGGCGAGAACCGTCGAGGACACTCCTCGACCATCCGGCGCAAAAACCACGCACGAAGCCGAAACATGCACAGGGAGTGGACGTCCGAGCGATGGCCAGGCCGTGGCTGCACTGACGGGTCGTTCTCGCCCGGCTGGTGCTCCCAGGGCGCCTCGCGGCCGCCCCGTGCGCCGGCAGAGGCCTTCCGCGCGCTCGCTGCGTGGGCGCCCGCGGACGCCTCGTGGGCACCTCGTGCGCTGGCAGGGCGTGCCGCGCTTTCTCGCTCGGCTGGGGCTCGTGGGCGCCCCGTGCACTGCCTGGGTGCTCCTCCCTTTCCTCCTCCTCCTCCTCCTCGTCCTCCTCCTTCTCCTCCCTCCTCCTCCTCCTCCTCCTCCTCCTCCTCCTCCTCCTCCGCCTCCTCCTCCTCCTCCTCCTCCTCCTCCTCCTCCTCGTCCTCCTCCTCCTCCTCCTTCTCCTCCGCCCTCCTTCTCCTCCGCCCCCTCCTCCTCCTCCTCCTTCTCCTCCCTCCTCCTCCTCCTCCTCCTCCCCCTCGTCCTCCTCCTCCTCCTCCTGCTCCTCCTCCCCCGCCTCCTCCGCACATAAAACCATGTTTAGTTAGCCACTCGCCACCCCGGGCTCCAGGTTGGCGCCCCGTGGGCGCCACGGGGGAGCTCTGGGGGCGCTGGCAGGGGGTCCCGGGTGGTCGCCCGGTGCGCACGTCAGGGGCGGCTGTGGGTGCCCGCGCGCTGGTTGGCGTTGCCGGATGCACACGGGCTCAGGAGGAGGAGGAGGAGGAGGAGGAAGAGGACCGAGGGGGAGGAGGAGGAGGAGGAGGAGGAGGAGGAGGAGAAGGAGGAGGAGGAGGAGGAGGAGGAGGAGGACGTGCCCCATGATTCTGCAGAACATACGTCCCCAGGCCAGAAGCGGCGCGTTTGTCCCTTGGGCTTAAGGTCTGACAACCCCCAGGGATCCAATTGGATCCCTGTCTGGGTGCGTAACCGTTTCGTGGATCCTATTTCTGTGTTGTGCGGGTCCAAGTTCCCGTGTGTGTGAAAACCATGGATCAACTTATTTTCTTGGAGTGAACATCTCATATCTAACTAGTCTCCTGGACCCGCAGGAAATTGGATCTGCGGGACACTGCACGCGAGGCATCATGCTATCCACGGAGCTGTGGCTCTGCAGATCACTGCCATGATTCCACCAGGGACGGGTTTTCCGAGGGTGAAGAGAGGGGAGGAGGGATGAGGCGAGGGGAGGGGAGAGGAGGAAAGAAGGGGACGGAGGTGGGAGGGGGATATAGGAGGACGAATGAGCGAAGAGGGGGAGGGGGGGGAGGAGGGAGGGGGAGGAGAAGGAGAGGGGAAGAAGGAGGCGGAGGGAGAAGGCAGGAAGGGGAGAAGGCGGGAAGAGGGAGGGGGAGGAGGACGAGATGGAAGGGGGAGATTGGATTGGATTGGATTGGACTCTAGCGGAGACCAGGTCAAGCCTGGGCGCAATCCAACCTCAGGGAGCAGGCCAGGGGACTCCGCTCTTGGGCGTGAGTCCTCGCGAGAGGCGGCTCAGCACCTCCGCCCCCGCTTTGGTGGGGCGGCGGGACGGGGGACAGGCTTTACAAAGACTCCGAGTGTTCACCGTTCCGAAGCTCCCGCGCACAACACAATAGAGCACACCTCGAATCACATCAAGGGTGTGCGAGCTATCAGCTTGCATATACAAGGGATGGCAGGTAGGATCATCAAGGGCCAAGGCGCGGGCCCCCGTGCAACGCCCAGGGTTGAAGCGTCTCAGAAGGCCCTTCATAGAAAACTTACGTTCACAGATCTGGCACTGAAAGTCCGTCGACCGCTTCACACAGGAGTGGCCAGCAGCAGTGAGGCGGGCCTTCCTGGTAGCGTACGACGAGAGGG